ATTCTACATTTTTTTGTAAACAAAATTAACACTTTTTTGTTTTAGACAAAAGAATAACCGCCTATGGTATTAAAGTTGGCCACCTGACCAAAGGGTCCAGGTTTAAATATCCTCTAAATAAAGAGAAACATATCCCTGTGCTGTTTTCACGACATCAAACTGCACATATATATGATTTCTAAAGTTGCAGCATATTGATATTACCTAGATAATTATTCATTTCTTTAAAAAAAAGAATGAAGTGCTCATCTCAAAGATTGCACGTAGTGTACATAATTATTTTTTTTACGGGAGAAAAACCTTTAAAATGTGTTCAAATTGTACACTGAAACCAAAATGCTAAAACCACTTCATATGTCTGTGCAGGCAAGGGAATCACTGACGTGTACGAAATCTCTAGAATGCCTCCTTATGCTTGCCCTTTGCATGCACGAATGAGGTGCACTGACCCATGTGCTCTAGAATTCTAATAACAAAGTCTGCTCCTAGACACATTGAGCACAGCTCTTTTAGAGTGACTTATGACATAAAGGGGGGGGAAAAAAACCACCCCGAGGTAACTGTGAGACTAATTTGTTATCGTATCCATTACAACGTTTTTCAGATGCAAGCAGGCCAACTCGCCTTTTTAAGCGCATATATATGCCACACGTACACCGGGGGCTATGCAATATTTGAAAAGATAATAAATAAAAGCAATTCGAGAAAAAAAAGGCCAATGCACTAGTTTATTTAAACTGTCAATTCATTTATTTGATTTAGAACTGAGTGATGGGTCTTGAAAAGGAATGGACTTCATTGTGAGGAAGATCTGTGCGCACGTGGATAAATACTGGATTCACTTCAAAGCTCAAAACTTCTGCGAAAATTTTGAATTATATTTTTTATTCTGGATGTGTTATTTTTCTTTCCCCACAGGCATTTTGCACAACTGTTTCTAAGATTAGGGATATTATTTCCATGCCGTTTCTATGCATTTCCTTTTGACCAGTTTCATCTATAATAGTACCTCCAGGGATTTCTGTGACATCGCTTACATGTATAGTATGTGCGTTTAATGTTCTATTATATTTTCAAATGTGAAAAAGCGGGAAAACGGATAAAGATTCAGGTAAATGCTCTATGCTTTTTTTACTGTACTATAATGATGAAAAAAAAACCATTACTGAACACACAATGTCAAACTTATCTTAACCGACTCAATCACAATCTAATCTTCAGACACATCCTTTCTAAAAAGCATCTTTTTGGAATGTATTTTTTTATGATGAAGTGGCTTTGTGTAATACATTTTCTAAACTCCTGGAAATGAATTGTCCTACATTGGAGGAACAGGAACTTATTTATATTCAGTCAAATTCTGAACGTGCATCCTTTTTATTATTTTTGTCATATGAAATGAAACCAATTTTTTTCAGTCATGCTCAGATAAGGTAAACAGCTGTAACATAGTGCTCTGCTTCAAGGACCAAAATGTACTGTTGCTGCCGAGTTAAGACAAAGCGACCTGGAAGGAAGCGTGGGGTTTTTACTGCAGTCAGCGTCCAATGAGGTTAGCGCAGCATGACAAACAGGTGGCCTTGTGTTGTACATTTGTTTTGTGTTTAGTACACATTTAAAGTAAACTGTAGACTTTGCTAAAGTGCATACCCGAATAAGATGTAAAGGTCAGCCATGGACTTGGTACACATGCCAATCCAGAGGCAAACAAAAGGAAAGCCGTGACCAGTGCCGGCATGAGTGGGATATGAGCTACCGCTGACGATAGCCATGCCTATCACCGAAATAAACTATGTACGGACTAGTGGCGCGATTTAGTTGTGTTACACCTTCCCCACTTGCTGACAAGCTGGAGAGCTTTCTGCACGCTTGGCGCCAAGGGAATTAGGTACTGCGATGGCACGCAAACTTAGCATGCGCTCCATTAGTCAAACTAATAATTATGGATTCCTTCCGAGTATGGATTTGTGCAGCAACTCATAAGTCCACGTCCAGGTTTGGTAGCTCTGAAATAGCCTCGGGGGAAGCTGAATGGATGGCTTGGCCAATATGATGATATTAGTTTGCACTTAAGAAACAATCATTCTGCTTCAGTTGTAAGTGTCTCTTTTGTAAATGGAATTTTAATTTCCTTTATGCATCCAAGTCATTGGATATTTTTGCGTGAATCCGTTCTTTTATATGTCTGCCGGACGTTAATAAATACCATCATTATTAACGTAATTAATTAATTCCACATACATCATAAAGAAAACAGATGATTTGGTATTAGTGCCAATAGTATTTATGTTTATAGTTTAAGTAATACAAACTATTCCAAAATCTACTGAATTTACATGAATTGCCTTTATATTGATACGATTCAATCACGCGCTTTATGAAACTAGTCAAGTAGTAGTCTACATTGGTCCACAGTCGAGCATATCACCAAACATTAAACAAATGTCTGCAACACAAACCTTATATGCTTATGTTGTACTATAAATATTATGCATTCAAAAACATAAGACATCATAAAACAATAAACGTAATGATGAAAATGGTGAACACATTGTGTAAATACTGTCATGAAATAATAATAGAAAAAAATATATACTTTTTTATTATTGAATGCAGTAAAATCAAGCCAATAAAATAATATGAACAGGCCCGAGAAATGTCTTAAATGGGTAATTACTGGATACTCATAGAAGATGCAACAGAGCGGCTAGAATTGATTTCTTGAGGGTTTACAGTTCAGTGGGGACAATTGGCACAGATAGTTTATGATAAAATCTGCATACGTCATGAAAGAACATTTGACTTGATTGCGTGGGCAGCTGAGATAAGAGTACAGGGTTGAGAACACAGCCATGAACACAAAGAGAGAGTATACTGAAGGTAGATTGGGGATATTTAGTCTCAAATTGTACTAAATGTGTCTAACTGCAGACATTAAAATACATTCAGTGTACTGCTTTTTCAGTAAAATAAACGGTAATTACATTTTCAAACTGAGCTCAGTTTTAAAGTCATGTTTTAGTGGCATTTAAGGACCCTGCAACCCCCACCATAGGCGATTTGAGGCATGAGGGTTTAGAACACCACCACCATGTGCACGAGACATGCCAACAATTGCTCCTGCTGGCAATGTACTGACTTGTCAAGATTCAAGGTAATGTCTTTTTTTAAATTCAAGAACCGATCTGTTTTTTTGTCTTGCTTGTAGCATCTAATTCACATTTTCAAACTCATACAGAGCCCCATAGCACCTGGGAGGCTTCAGCAGGCACACAAGCCCTCTCCCTTATAAATTCGAATATGTTCGTCAAGTAAAAACATGTCGCCACAATATTTAACACCACACTTTTTAGTTTTCAACCCTTCCTCGTATACATAAGAGGTGGAGCAGAATGCATCATACAACAAAAGCAGGTCATAGCATTACTCATTAACACTGCTTTAAAGATCGTTTCACACTGACTGTGCCGTGCCCTGCTTGAATTGTTTTCTTAGCCGCCCCTGTAGACAAGCTCACGCTGCAGGTTTGCTCATATTTCTCCAGGATTATTTTACTTTATTGCCTTGATATTACTGCATTCAATAATTGCTATGTTTACATGAGTGTTTTCTTTTAGATTATTATTGTACGAAAGTGTTTACACAATTTGTTCACCATTTACATAATTACATATATTGCTTTACCATGTCCTATGTTTTAGAATTTCTCAAGGGTAAATAACAATTCTGATTCTGATATCTCCCGTCATTTGTTGTCTTGATCGTTCTATTCACCTTAAGGAGCACACTGGTGATAGTGCACTATGCAGTATAATAGCAATTTGCATGAATCATAAGTATTTCTAAGGTTCACTATTGAACGCATATGTCAAGAGCTTACAAAACTGTTTTATTTGGTGAATCGTTAATTGCCTAAAGCAAACAACGTTTTTCGAATTTCTTTAAATGTGCATTCCAAGTACAACCATACAATGGATATAGCTATATGTCGCAGTAGATTATATTCGTTAGTTAAAATTCATATAAGTGTGTTGGTCTGGAGAAGCTATGCACTGCAACTATCGAATGGATATGGCTAATAGTACATTTGCATTTGGTTCCTTACTGAAGGTAAATACAGTGAAACCTTGGATTGCGAGCATAATTCGTTCCGGAAACGTGCTCGTAATCCAAAGCACTCGTATATCAAAGCGAATTTCCCCATGAGAAATAATGGAAACTCAGATGATTCGTTCAGCAACCCAAAAATATTCTATCCATATAAAAATGATTAATACAAAATACCTTTTAATATTTGTATTATTTAAATTTAATGAAAAGTAATCAAATTTATTCATTACATTTAATCGTGGCTGGTGTGAGGAAGATGAAAGAGAGGAGAGGAGGAGGGTTATTGTGTAGGACGACTTTCACTACAGTTACTAAAGAACAGTCACTACACCTGGACACAAAATAAAAAAATGCTTTACGCACACACACGTGGTCACAACACTATAGTACTGTAGTAAACAGTATACACGTGGTCACAACACTATAGTAAACAGTATACGCTCGCACGGATGTTGACTATACGAGTGAGGCACGCCGACTGAGACTGAGCATAGGAGATGATTACCCACAATCCCACAGCGAGAGAGAAAAGAACCATTGGCTCAGTTGTGATCACATGACGCTCGGCAGACAAAGCATATATTGTACGTACTGCTCGTATTGCAAGACATCGCTCGTTTATCAAAGTATTATTTATTAAAAAAAATTTTGCTCGTCTTGCAAAACACTCGCAGACCAAGTTACTCACAATCCAAGCCACTAGGAATGTCCTCTGCAGCATGAGCCGTCCCATCATATTTAACACAGGACCCTTGTGTGTAGGTAGCTAATGCAAATCATTAAAAGTATCAGAGCAGATCGAGCATTACGTGTGTAAACTATCATAGAAAACAATAACGTACAAATAAATTATTGAAGACAAAGAGTCTTTAATAAAATAAAATACTCACGGCTGGCAGAGCTTGACAAGATCCTGGTCGGTTGTGCCGGGTGGAAGCCCCCGTATGTACAGGTTGGTCTTGCTCAGCTGCTCACCACTGGTGCTGTTAGCACTGCTGTGTGTACTGGGGCTTGGAGCCATTTGATTGGAAGTTTGTGTGTACGACTGCTGCAACAACAACAAAAAACACAAGCAAATATTGTGATTAAAATACATTACTATGCAAATCTCTGAAAGTGTTTTTTTTTTATCACAGCAAAGAAGAATTCTGATTTGAATTACTGCATGAGATAAAAAAAAAATATTTCTACAGGCACCCCTTCTTTTCCACCGGAATTCTGAGCCGTGCCAACACAGGGACCCCGCCGTACACTTGGTTTTCCACTGGCTATTTCCCGTGCCAAATAGGAAACACAACCGTGATATTCTGGCCTCGCAGTGCATCTGAATTGAGCTTAGGGTCAAACTAAGCCAACGGCGGGCCTAGCGACAAGTACATTGCATGTGACATCAGTCAGTAAAGCGCGAGGACACCGTGTTACCCCGTCGTCTACGTGCAACCGAACTCATTCAACGCACGCGACGTCAGCAGCACGCTTCGGGTCCTGCAGTGGAAAAACAACCTGGCTCAGTTGTACAGTAAGTAGATAAGGTACACGTGGTTCCCTACTCAAACCATGAAATGGGCGATGTCACTCTCACGGTAGAGGGCCAGTCCTGGAATAAAATAACTTTCCACAATCTTATGCTCATTATGAACTCCCAAGATATGACAGGTCGATTTGAACCCATTAGGGATTTGACCTCACAATATTCTAATCGAGTTGCTTCAATCCCATCTATAAATGCTTAAAAATAGTACTCATAACTTACAAAGACAAAGGTCCCCCCAAGTCTTTTGGAGCAAGTGTTGTTTGTGAGAAGCAACACCTATGAAGGCCAGCAAGGTATACGAGGGGGTGGGTGGCCAGCTCCACGCCCGGCCGCCTTTGTCTCCCCATTGCTGATGTTAACTACACATAGCACCTGGTACTCATTTAAAGCTCAGTCGACCTAGGTAAGGGAGGGTACAGGACAAGTTCTGGCATTTGCTGTCACTGATATTGGTCATGAGTGGGAATCCAACTCAAGTCTTTGCCAGGTTTGTAGTGAAGTGCAGTGCAAACTGCTGTGCCGCTGCTCCCTACATACACACTCTCACTGCAGAACAGGGGAGAATATACAAACTCCACACACTTACACAACAACAACCGCCATTCACCACTAAATGGCGGTGACGTCACCACGATGCTTGTGCCAGGCCATGTGCACCTTGAGGCCACGTGAAGTGTCGAACGTCCGCTGACAGGAGGTCACGGGGCAGACCCAGGTGCCACGGGTCGACTGACTAAGATGACTGGCTGATGCACCACCTGTGCCCCCTACTGTGCCAACCTGCTGTGCTTTAGCCACCCGGCGCTCCGCTCGTTGTTGTGAGCGTCGCTCCTCCGCCCTCCATTGTTGTTGGAGGACGACTGCCTACAACTGCCCAGTAGCGTCCTTCACGAGCCTCCTCCACAGAGGCTGATCTTGACACCGCTGGTACCAGTCATCGGCAAGTCCACTCAGCTCTACGTCCTCCTGTACCACATCACTCCATCTCTTCTCTAGCCCGTGCCGCGCCCGTTTAGCCCCCTCGATCCGGCCGAACAAAAGCTTACACACTCACACACGCACACTTATAATACACAAAGAACCACTGTGAGTCACAAAACCTCGTTTAACTACAATGGATCAGCAGCACCACCTCAGCATTAATGGCCTCAACATCACTTGGCTAGCACATTCATCAAGGGTGCCCTTGTCGATTAATGAGTAGAAGTATTCAAACTTCTTTGAATGTTCTAATGGCTCTGAGGAATTACGCTCCTCAGGGCAAGAGATATGCGACTCATCATCTTTGATAATTTTGCACAAACACCAAGAGCATATTTCTGGTCTAAATGAGCCGAATGCATGAATATGAGCTACTGTACTTGAGCTATATTTGCCATTCACAGTAATGTTTGTGAAACAATGTCTCTATATTTTTTATATTGCTGTATAAAATACAATTTGACATTTCACTGCAAAATATTGCTTCATTTTGTTTAATATGATATACAAGCCAAATTAAATGTTGGGATGTCTGGTATATCAGTCATGTTTGGACGCATTAACTCAGTTCCATTAATGAGTGATCAATTGTGTTTCATTTGAAGAACGCCTCTCAAAATATGTGCACACAAGTGCAGAAGTGTAATGATGTGTATAGCTTATGCTGGCATGCCGGCATGCTTGCTATTTGACAGTACAATCCTTCCCATGGGCTTCTGGCTCATTAATATGTGCTGATTTTATAAAACAAGTATAATGGATCTCTTGGAGTTCTTTTACAACAACAAAGCATCATTGCAATGCATTCTTTGCATATGATTATCCCCAGAATAATTGATGATGCAAAGTCATTTAATTTAGTGCATGAGCATATTGGTGTAATATTTGAGCAAGTTAAGATGCATTTAGTTGTGGAATGCTGACAGAGTCTCAGATGTTGTACTTTGCTGCCTCTAGACAGCTGTATTTGTGTCTGTGTATCTGTGCATGTCTTCATTTGGTCAAATAATCCTAAAAATTACATTATTTAAGCAAAGTCCCCCTTACAATTATTCAGCAGCAAAACTTAAATAATTATTATGACTGTTCAGCCTCACAGCAAGCACTGGCTTGTTGACATCAGTTTTCTGGTATCGCACATTTCTAACCATCGGCTATCGTGGAAACCATCAAAAAAACCCTTCATCACCTCCGTAATGCACGAGGTGCAAGGAGAAAGGAAGTGTAGAGAATTCCCATGGCTCCTCCACACAGACATGGTGCCATCTCAGTCTGTCTGTGAACTTCTTGGATCCATTATCAGATCGGACAGTTCTACCACATTGAAGCATTATCCCAATTCATGTATTTTACTGCAGAAAACAGGTCAATTCCACTCGCATTTAACGTGGTTTATAGACAACATGGGTATCAGTTAAAATATGCAAAGCCTTAATTCTATGCAGTTTTACTTATGAGTTACAATTTTGTTACAGTACTATATTTTAAAATGATATTTTGGGTTTATTTCAGAATATATATAAAACATTCAACCAGTCAAGTCTGTTTCCTCATTCTCATTGATCCTCTCTATCAAGCCAAGAAAAGACCAGTAATTGTGCTATGTGAATTTTTCAAACTGTTTGAAATGGAAATAGGGTTATTTCATGTTTGGCTCTGTTGTACAGGGGACTTCGTTGCTCCCGCACGCTCTTGTTTTCGCATGCACCATTTGGCCAGCAAACGCAAAGGCATTGTTGTCAGTTCCAGCAGTGCAACTGATGCGAGGTCTGCCAATTTTCTGTGCAACGGTGGCATTCGGAAATGTTATCTGTGACGAAGGATGTTTTGGTTTTTCATACCGTCCGATTCTAAAGCACGTTATCCTTCCGGCGCACGCGAGTTAAATATTCCCATTTGATAGACCTGTGGTTGTTCCCGGCGTTGCCAGTGCATGCCTTGCAAACACATGAACATGGTTGTGCCTGGACGTGCCAAACATTTATATCTCTCCGATGTTGGTTTCAGGTTGTACCGCGTGCATATTGTTCAGATCACGTACAACGTTCTGCTCCACGGCCTCCGAGTGCTTACTTCAGGAGCTGCGCTCCACATTGCATATGATGCTGAATTACACGTGGCATAATGAGAAACACATCCGACAGCTTTGCATTTTAACCGTGAAAAGCTCCACAGTAACCTTCAGAACATTCAGCGTTTCAACCAAACTCGATTCTCCTACACCAAAAGGTGTGTCTTCTCAACCTTCAGAAGCGGTCACGTCCAAACGTCAGTGGAGACAACTACAGATTCACTGTGCCGCGCTGTGAGAGGCTCGCAGCTTTAAACGATCAGGAACAGCATATTATGCTGACAACTGCACATGGGGATTAATAAATAAGATGTACTGTACAATGCAGCTGCAACTGCCATAAGTGGAAGAGACAGATACATTTAGGAGGGTATGGGAGCGTTTCTTGCACACACAAAGGCAAAGATCCCCCGTGTAGCCCGTAACAGACTGTAGGGGCAAGTGCTGTTAGCGAGCACCTATAAAGGCCGGAACGGCAACACGAGGGGGTGAGTGGCCACAGCACCACGCCCGACCGCCTTTGTCTCCCCAGTGGCGATGTTTTTTTTTTTAATCCACCGCACCAGGTACTCATTTGAGGCTGAGTCGACCTAGGGGGAGGCCCAGGACCGGTTCAGATAATCGTCACCGGTGGTGTTGGCCGTGAGCGGGAATCGAACCCGGGTCGCCAGCTTCATAGCGCAGCGTAGCGCTAACCGCCACACTACCGCTCCCCACACACACACACTCACACTGCTTTGACTGGCCCGACCACATAGAGTACAGTGTAACAACATATCGCTGTTGTTGATCACTGCTGAGTAACACCGAGAATCCCTTTGATTTGTTCTCCCCCCCCACTCATCTTTTTCTTTCCCCTCCCTCTTTTGTCAATTATTTTTCTTACCTTGGACGTGAACGGAATGTTGCGATTTGTTTCATGTTGAACTTCTTTCCCACCGTGCGAAGCCGACGTGCTCATAGACGGTGCGGTGCTTTTCAGTTGTTGGAAAATAAAAGTTGAAGAAAATAAATAAAGTGCAGTGCTTTATATGCGGCACAGCAGCTAATTTACATATATAAGTTTATAGAGTTGAAAGGCACGAATTAACTTTACCAAATTAAAAAGAGCATCCATGAGCTAATAAAACACCACTTACAATTACCACTTTAAATTAATTTCACTTCACATTACTGTGTTAATTAAAATAATTCAAACGCTTTTAACATTTTTAAGACTACCCGATCTGTTGCTTAGTCATAATACAGATTAATAAAGCCGTAAACAATAAATATACAGTATAATATTTCCGTGCTTAATAGCAATATATCTTAGAGTTTAATCAACTTATAAAATACTCACATGGGCAATGCAGCAAATCACCCATATCCAGTAGCATAACTTATATGTTATTGAGGCAGTTATCACATCATTAAATTTATGTGGGTGGCTTTCGTGATTTTTACATCTTAATTTTAATCTTCAATATTAATTTAATGTGGCAGGTATCATTTTTATTGTCTCTTTCGAAGATATTTCCAATGATACGCTGACTAAAATAGCATAACAAAGAAAGTCCCTATTGTTATTAACCTTATCTTCGATGCATCTTTGAGGCAATCTCAAAGGCATTTCAGTCGTGGAACTGTGCTGCCTTTGATCCATTCTTGGAGACAAATGCACGTTGAAGAAGTAATGAAAGCTGACACATGCTGCACCATGAAAACTGCGCACCAGGCTGACTTTAGCATCTGATTGACCAGGGCAGATTAATTTTCTCCCCATAGATTGACATTTTCTTGCTTCCCCCTCACTTGCCATATGTTGACCCAGATGAACACCATCTTACGAAAAACAAGAATGCCTGGCTTTCCCAGCACGGTGCCTGGATGAAGCAACCTGCAAATCGGCTGCCTCTTGCCCTGTAATTACAGACACAGGTTCACTCAAAACCAAGCCACCCTTTCCCACCATTGGGAGGATATTGCAATCTATATATTTTGCACTCTTGCACAAGTGACAAAAGTGTTAAAATACGTATCTGAAAGCTGCCTCTAAAAACGTCGGCAACTGCTTAAGGTGGGGCTGGCGAGCCGCGAACACCATTGGTATACGTGTGTGTATGTGTGTGTGTGCTGTTTGATGAGAACACAGTCTACGTAGTGAGATCAAAGCGAGTGAATGTCTCCCAATAAAGTGGGAAAGCCCTCTCGTTTTCACACAAGACTTCTTGACTTTCGGCAAAGCACGACGTTCCTCCCTCGGTCAAACAAGTGCTCCTCTGTGAGCCATTAAGAAAGTCGCCATTGTTTTGCCAGGCCTCTCCCTGCTATTAGGTCTCTTAATGGCTGGCATTTGCACATGGTCATTACAGGCAAGCAGGGCAAGAAAGAGGGCTCAGATCGGACTCAGATCGGTCGGAAGCCAAACAGCACAAAGCCACAATTCAAGGTTTCCCTTATCACAACACGCGCACAACAGACACACACTAACATGTGCGAGCTTGTAAATATACAATTTTACATTGCCATATTTCTAAACGCCATCTCCTCAGCCGTGGAGTCAGATGTTGAAGAAGTATGGTAAGTTTGCCTCATTAATTAACTCGCCTTACAATATCCATATTCTTGGTTCTTTCGGTAAAGTCACGTAGAAGGGAAACAATAAAATAATAAAAATATAAAACAATCTAATTCTCACGACGTTTCGACTGCAACACAAGCAATCATCATCAGGTGTGAAAACCACATCAAGAAAATGTTGTTGTGGTTTTCACACAGAAAATTTTCTTGTTGTGGTTTTCACACTTGATGATTGCTTGTGTTGCAGTCGAAACGTCGTGAGAATTTTGTTTTATATTTTTATTATTTTATTGTTTCCTTTCTACGTGACTTTACCGAAAGAACCAAGAATATGAATCCCTGCAGTCACGAAAGCTTTAAATCAAAAATTCGCCTTACAATATTAAAAATAAGCTTCAGAAAAGTGCTAGTCACAAAAGTCAGCACGTGTCGCCCATACCCAAATGAGCATTGAGCAGTACTCATTTCCAATGGTGATCCTGACCTATAGATAGAAATTCCACCATTCATATAGAAGGTTGTCAGTGTCGCCATATACAAATCTTTTGGCTCTCTCCAAAGTGTTACCCACAGAATGATGAGGGGCCTACTCGACTCTGGACCAGGATTTAAATTGACGGCATTGCTGTACTTTGGGCTGCGTAGGTTTTTGTGGTTGTGCTGCATACGCACTCCGACGCGGTTTTCACGTCGGTGTACCACATGTGGAGAGAATCGTTGGACCCCGTGCCGAACAGCACGTGGTCACGACGCTGAAACACACATGGGAGAGCACTTGGTACTCTGCCACAGCACCACCCGGTCAGATCGATGTACTACGTAGTATTCTAGAAGTGCACTCCTTGTTCAAAATTAGGCATTCATCTGAAAGTTTGTATAATATTGTGCCTGAGCATCTCTGATGGCAGCATTCACCAGGGGCTCTTTTTTTTTAGTCCGGCCTCACAACTGACGTGAGCACCACGCCCAGCCACTGCCCTGCAGGGCAGTCATATGACTGCATTAAACGCTATCTATACACAACAAGGAAGCAAGCATTTGAGCTTCCGAAATTGTGCGTCGCAGTCATCGCCCTTCCAGCTACAATTATTATCAGGGGCGGAGCCAGGGGCGGAGCCAGGGGGGGTGACAGGGGTCACATTCTGAGTAATAAGTGTACGACACTCGGTCTGGTGGACTCCGTGCAACTGCACTGTCAGAGTGTGTCGCCAACCGATGGCGTCTAGTTCAACAGCCTGACTCTCTCTAAATCATTCTTGAAATTAACATTTGTTGAATGTCAGTCACCCCGGCCTGAAATCCTGGCTCCGCCCCTGATTATTATCACTGTCGTTCACAAACTTAGCCGCTCATTTACACTGTCATCTGCATGTCATAACGAACGTGTATATTTACAAGTACTTTCACATTTCATCATAATTTACTGAAAGCCATTCTAAAGTTTTATTAATATCGATATTCTCCTTTAAAGCAATGCCCATGCACAAAAGTAGGGTGTATCATGCGCTAGGATGTGCCGTGTATTGCCCGATACATTTAGCCATGTCTACCCTTGAATATTAAACATACTTTGGCACGCTTTAATAAAAGCATCTCAACATCAGTTGTCCCGACCTTAAAACCACAATGCAGCGCAATGAGACCAGTGTCCTGACGAAATGCTTCCCCTATGAGGAACGTACAACTCATTATATATAACATGTAAGCATCTAAGTCGATATACGGGAGTAATAAAATCAAAAATGTACAGCCCCTTGTCAATCCACTGGCGGATGAAGGCTCCTCACATCGTGTCGGTTAAGATAATTGTTTGACCACACCTTTCTATGCTGATGTGTGGGTTGGAGAATATGGTTCAGATATTACTACTCATCTTAGCATTGGCTGGGGTCGGTTATTAGTGCACCACCGGTCCGCCGCCTCTGGGACTACATCCCCACATTATGGAAATGTTTGAAATAAGAGCAAGGGAATAATACAGCAGTGTCATGATGATTCACGTGTTGTTTAAATCTTGTACTTGCATTTATTAAATAACAGTACTGGCTATCAAACATAGCTAAACGCGATAGATCAGAGATGAAGAGGTCAGAGGCCAATGCTTTTGTGATATAAAAAATATATAAATGCATGTGTACAGAGTACCCTACTTGTGTCCTGCTTATAATGGATATTCAGATAAAAGAAATAAATGTCATCTAAACCACAGTGTTTGAAAATGCAAACGTTTGCTGAAAGTGGGATATTAAAACAGACTTATGAATTTTCATAAAACCCCCAAAATTATGTTTTAAACTTGCTCACTTAATGTCCTGCAGCATTGGAGTTTACACAAAAGTATCCTTTTGGGAATACAGAAAATGTATTGAAATGTATCATAAGAGTTCACTATGTTACCTCTTTAAGTAATTTGTAGCCATGTGCTCTTCAGCCACCTCTATAATGAGTAATTTAAAAGGGCGGCAATCTGTATTTATATTTTACGTGCATAATGTAAAAAAATAGTTTTAACTTGAAAGGAACACACAAGTAGTCAGAGATAAAACACTGAAGAGTATATTATATTAACTACCATTTTAGTCTTGCTCATCCGTTCTATGAATTCATATAAAGTGTTCCACTGTCGTTTATATTATTACTCAATTGGGATTATGCAGAGCAATCACTGTCCCCTCCTGCAAAAAAACATGACAGCATCCTCCCAAAAGAGTCGTGAGACTCCGGGAGGCATTCCTGGATAAACAAGTGTAGTAATAAATAAATACACGTTGCCAAACAGCGTTCATACAAACCACATTCGTAAATAGCAATCACAATTGACATTTACCGTCACATAATGCGTGATTAAACACAGTATATATTTGCTATAATCTTAAATATGAACGCATTCCGCCCACCATGACAACAGCATACCCTTGCAATAGCATATTAACTTGATAATCGCAGTACTCTTCGTCGTCGGTTGTAACATTCAAGGGCCAGCGTTGTAAACAGGGCTACAGATTAAGCTGTAACTCAGAACACATGCCGTTACCATTTCACCTACACCGTTTCTTTTTTTTGATCTCCTCTCCGTGAAAGGCAGAGAATCGCGTGGCACAAACCGCTGGCAGCAATCTTCACCCCTGGCTAACTGCATCGCAGCAGCTGCGGAGTGCCAATTCCAATTAACACTGCTGTACCAGACATGCCACGAAGAGTGGCTGAGCCCCCGTGTTCAGTAAGCACTTCACTCCCTACCGTACGCACACTAGGTGTTTGGTGTATCTCACGTGCTAGGTTTCAATTTGTCCTCCAATAGCTGCTTGTGCAATGTGCCCATCACAGTTATCATGACCGAGTTTCCTCGTGGAAAGTACAAAACAATATTCAGTTTAACACGTAGGCTTTTGCGACCAATATTATTCATAATAAAGGTGTTTGGGTTAAATACAGTATATATAGCAAATATATACTGTATTTAATCAAATAAACGCGATCTAACCCAAAAACCTTTATTATGAACAAAACAATATTTACAAAAGTATTACAGCGCCGTTACTATCCAAACCCAGTCGATTCGTTCGTTGTGTTTCGCAATTACAGTAAAAAGGCAATTATTTGCGCTTTTTATTTTTCATTATTCGCTCCTCGTTCAGCATAACTTTAAGGAAGGCGTGCAAATTTTAACTTTCTTAATGCAAAGGCTACGTATGATATTGTTCTAATTGTACCCGCCATATTACACAACTAAGACTAATCGTCAAGTCAAAAGCCAACGTATTCCCATCCAACGTAAACGAAGTGTAGTTGGGTTTAAACCTGTGCCTAGGGTTGGCAGCTGTAAATGCATAACATGGGTCTGAATAATGGAACGTCCAACTTATAGACATCCATTAGTCTCTAATTGTCACAGCACTAACAACATGCATACACAATAATTAGTACCTGAACAGTAAATACAAAATAACATCTGTAGTTGCATATCACAAACATTAACTCTTAACATCAGAAGCATATGGAATACAAGAGCCTGGTGTCACATGTATTGAAAATGTGTTCTAACAGTGAACATTTAAAATGTTGTTGGTAGATGTTCCCCTTTTTATCAAGTAAATGCCAACTACACACAGAGTTTAGCACCAGCATACGAAGTAATGGAACTTTGGGCATTAATCATCATCATCATATTTCTATCACAGCCCAGCATTATATTTAATTTATAGTAACTTAGTACTGTATATTTGATATTCGCACCACTCTTATAGCATAAGGCTATCACACAAAGGCGCTATTTTCACAGTAGGGGCGAATGTTGTTACGTGTAATCCCAATTGAGTAATTTGCAGATAATTTTTTCAAATGTACAAAATTTTGACACGGACACAAATTGCCTACTCTTTTCGAATGGAATTATGGAATATTTAACGTCCACTGTTGAGCAGACCGTGTATATTCATGGTTAATATAGGAGCAGTATGAATCAGGGCGGCTGGTCGAATTAGAGCCACGAACCTCTGCAACAAGCAGGAACGCTCTACTGCTGGGCCACGTCACTGCCTCGTTACATGCACTCTGTAGTTTACAGGAATCGGGCTACTGTAAGCATAGGAGTGTAATCTTGATAGCATCCTACCATGTTGTATTATAATCAATACCCACAGCAAGGCAATCTCGTGTTTGTGAGAATCATAAATACTGCATTGTATTTGGAGACGGCTTAGGCTAATTTCCCATGGACACCAATCACAATTTCCCATTCTCTATACAGTATTCTTTTTTTTTCTCTCAAACAAAGCATAAATACGCAAATCCAAGCAAAGCGTGTAATTTGGAGCTGAGGATTGCAGCGCCGGGTGTGGGTGGTGCAAATCCCGTACTCCGGTGCATTGTTGGATTGCAGATTTGTGCAACTCTCAAATCCACTGGGCAGCAAGTTGACCGGCGGGAGTTGGCTGTACAGCAAACTGGTTTCGCCAACCTCTCTGTGCGCACCTTCGAACGCGTCCCAATAATATGCACGAGCTTCTGCAGGCATTCCAGTTTCCTTCCACGTGCAAAATAATAACTCCCTTAAAATTGAAT